ACTTACTACTTATTGTTTGCTTGTTTATTATTTATTTATTTATTTATTTATTTATTTATTTATTATTTATTGCTTGTTTGTTTATTTATTTATTATTTATTGTTCTTATTTGTTTGTTTATTTATTATTTACTTATATATTTATATATTTATTTCTGTTTGTTATTAGGGTTTTTCATTTCTCTATTTCTTTTTCCCTTCTTTTCTATTTATTTGCTATTTAATTAATCTGCTGCTGCTGCTGTCGCTGCTGCTGCTGCTGTCGCTGCTGCTGCTATTGCTGCTGCTGCTATCGCTGCTGTTGCTGCTGCTGCTGCTTCTACTGCGAAGACTGTTGCCTCTGGTGCTGCTGCTGCAGTTGCTACCGCCGCCGTTACTGCTGCTGCTGCTGCTGCAGGTGCTGCTTCTGCTGCAGGTGCTGCTGCTGCTGCAGGTGCTGCACTTCTGCTGCTGCTGCTGCTGCTGCAGGTGCTGCACTTCTGCTGCTGCTGCTGCTGCTGCATTACTTTGTTTGCAGGGCTAAGTTTGATTTGTTGCGGGAAGAAAAAGCAGAAGAAGAAAAAAACTTCAAAGAGAAAATAAATGAACAAGAGGAAAAACATTTGAAGGAACTCCAGGTCTTTTTCAATTATTATTTTATTTTATTTTATTTTGTTTTGTTTTGTTTTGTTTTATTTTGTTTTGTGTTATTTCGTTTTGTTTTATTGCTATTTAACTTTATTTTTGCTTTTGTTTTTGTTTTTGTTCTGTTTGGTTGTTTCTCGATTTCGACCTGTGCTTAAGGCCGAGGGTTTAGGGTTTAGGGTTTAGGGTTAAGGGTTTAGGGTTTAGGGTTTAGGGTTCAGAGTTTGGCGTTTTCGTTTGAGGGTTCAGGATTCAGGGTTCCGGGTTTAGGGTTTACGGTCAACGGTTTAGGGTGTTGGGTTTAGGGTTCAGGGTCTAGGGTTTAGGGTTTAGGGTTTAGGGTTTAGGGTTTAGGGTTTGCGTGCAGACGCTGGAGGCGAAGTTTCAAAGCAAACTCTCAATTGAATTAAACCGCCAAAAAAGATTAGTGACAGAAAAAGAAAAAGAAAGAGAACTTTGGAAAAAAGAAAAAGAAAAACTTTTGAAAGAAGCCAGCGACAAAGAACAAGGTCCCTAGGGTTTAGGGTTTAGGGTTTAAGGTTTAGGGTTTGAGGGGCGGGGTCCGGGATCCAGAAGTGAGGGTGTAGGGTTTAGGGTTTAGGGTTTAGGGTTTGGATGACGGCGAGAAGCCCAGGAAGAACTAGCGCAAGAGCGCCACCGCGCTGGCGCAGCAGGGTTCAGGGTTTAGGGTTTAGGGTTTAGGGTTTAGGGTTTAGGGTTTGGGGTTTGTGCACAGAATGGCGGAGACAACTAAATCTGCAGGCGCAGCATTTTGAAGAAGAAATTAAAAAACAAAAAGAGAGAAAAGAAATTGCTGTTAAGGCCCATCAGCAGCTGCTGCACCAAATTGAAGATGACGCCGACAGGCAAACCCTAAACCCTAAACCCTAAACCCTAAACCCTTTGCGTGCAGGGAAATCGAGGGTTTGAAGGAAATGTACGAAAGAAAACTTTTGGAAGTTCAAAAAGAAAAAATAAAAGTGCGGGGCCAAGCTGGGGTGTACAGACAGCAGTATGAAGATGCAGCAGAAGAATTTCAGCAGCTAAAAGAAGCCACGAGAGCAAAAGAAGAAAAGTTCTCCAGACTCAAAGAGGTGCCTAGGGTTTAGGGTTTGGGGTTTAGGGTTTAGGGTTTAGGGTTTAGGGTTAGGGCTTAGGGTTTAGGGTTTAGGGTTTAGGGTTTAGCGTTTAGGGCATAGGGTTTATCGTTTGGGGTTTGGAGATTGGGGTGTAGGGTTTAGGGGTTACGGTTGAGGGTTTAGAGTTTAGGGTTTAGGGATTAGAGTTTGAAGTTTGGGGTTTATGGCTTAGGGTTTAGGGTTTAGGGTTTAGGGTTTAGGGTTTAGGTTTGATTCCACCCCTCGCGCTTTTCTTCCGCCCCTTTCCCAAAACCCTTTCCTCAATTCCATTTAATAATATATATATATATATATATATATATATATATATATATATATATATATATATATATATATATATATATATATTTATTTATTTATTTATTTATATGTTTGTTTGTTTGTTTGTTTGTTTATTTATTTATTTATTTGCAGGACCTGGAAAAGCTGCTGCAGGACCGTTCGCAGCTGCAGCAGCAGCTGAAGGAAAAAGAAGAAGCTTTAGGAGAAAAAGAAAAGAAGATTTATTTGCTGCGGCAGCAGCAGCAAAGTTTTGAGAAGCAAAACTACATATTAGGGTATAAGCTGCAGCAGCTGCAGCAAACCGCGGGGCCGCAGCAGCAGCAGCTGCAGGAGATGCAGCAGCAGATCAAGTGCATGGACCGCGAGCTCGTTTGCTGCCAGCAGCAGCAGCAGCAGCAGCAGCAGCAGCAGCAGAAGCTGCAGCGCCTGCTGCTCGCTGCCCGGCAGCAGCAGCAGCAGCAGCAGCAGCAAACGAAACAAAAACAAAAAGTCATCAACAACTTAAGTTGGGGAGTTTGCAAATGTCTGCAGCAAATTGACAATCCGAAAGAACTGAAGAGAGATTTGCTGCTGCTGTACAGAAGCAGCGGCGCAGCAGCAGCAGCAGCAGCAGCAGCAAAGCCCCCCAACGAAGACGCTGCAGCAGAACAAACCAGGCAGCAGCAGCACCTCGAAGCAGCAATTAAACAACTCAAAAAAAGAATTTCAAAAGATGCAAAAACTCACAGAGAAGACAATTCAAAACTCATGAAAGAAAATGCAGATTTAATTAAAGAAATTAACAGCTTAAGAGCTGAAGTCCTTTCCCTCCAAGCAGCAAAAAGGGGCCTCAAAGCAGCAAACAGAAACGCCAGCAGCAGCAGCAGCAGCAGCAGCAGCAGCAGCGGCGGCGGCGGCGGCGGCCTCGGAGCTGCTGCTGCTGCGGCTGTAGCTGCTGCGGCGGCTGCCGAAGAGGCGAAAGCTGCAGCAGCAACGCAGCCTGCAGCAGCAGCAGCAGCAGCAGAAGCACCCCCTGCAACAGATGCAGCAGCAGCAGCAGCAGCAGCAGAAGCAGCAGCAGAAGGAAGTGTTGCTGCTGAATGTGCAAAGCTAATTGATGAGCAGCAAAAAGAAATGGAAAAGATGAAAAGCAAATTTGGAGATAACTCAGAAGACAATTAAAACTTTATTTATTTATTTATTTATGTATTTATTTATTTATTTATTTATTTACTTGTTTATGTATTATTTATTTATTTGTTTGTCTATTTATTTGTTTATTTTATTTATTTATTTTTATTTACTTATTTATATATTTACTATTTTTATTTGTTTGTTTGTTTACTAATTTTTACTCTTTATTCACATTTTTATCTATTTACTTATTACCATTCATATATTTTTATTTATATATTTAAATATTAATAAATAAATAAGTAAATAAAATAATCAATAAATAGATAAATAAATAAAATAAATACATATAATTCATTAATTAATTGATCTAAATAAATAAATAGATAAACAAATGAATAAATAAATAAATAATGAATAAAATAAATAAAATAAGTAAACAAACAAATTAAATAAATAAATAAATAAGACGAATAAACTAATAAAATAATAAATAAATAAAATAAATAAATAAATAAATAAAACGAAATAAAATTACATTAAATAAATAAAAAGAATTTGATTTTGAAATTAATTTCTATTGGCTCTACCGGCCGTCTTTGGGGCTGCATGCGTTTAGAGTCCGTCGGTGCATCTGAGGAAAGTGGATTAAATAAGAGGAAATTAAATGAAATGAAATGAAATTAAATTAAATTATTTATTTATTTATTTTAATTAATTAAATTAAATCAATTAAATCAGATTTAAATGCTCTCTTTTTGTTCAAAAAGCAGCACGGGAGAGCTGCAGCAGCTCAGGTGACCCGGGAGGCAGCTGCAGCTGAATTGTGCGAAACTAAATGAATAAATAAACAAATAAATAAATAAATAAACAAATTTTATATTGTTTTAGAGTTATAAAACCAATTTTAACGGTAGATCTGGCAGCAGCAGCAGCAGCAGCAGCACCAGTAGCAGCAGCAGCAGCAGCAAGACAAGCAGCAGCAGCAGCAGGAGCCGCAGCAGCAGCAAATGGAAATAGCGGACCTGCCTTTAGTTCCAGAGGTGCTGCGCTGCAGCCGCGATGGAAAGATAAAGAGCAAAGCGACATTAGCAGCAGCAGCAGCAGCAGCGTCAGCAGGGCTCCAGCAGCAGCAGCTGCTGCAGCTGCTGCAGCAGCTGGACCCAGCAGCAAAACGGGACTTCTTTAATAAATTAAAAGAAAAAGGAAATAAACATTATTACCAAAATGAGTATGCAGCAGCAATTTCCTGTTACGAGCGGGCCCTCTTAGCTATTGATTTCGAGCAGCAGCAGCAGCAGCAGCAGCAGCAGCAACAGCAGCAGAAGCGTGACAGCCAGCAGCAGCAAGGGCACCAACTCGAGCCTGCACCGCCACAGCCCCAGCAGCAGCAGCAGCAGCAGCAGCAGCAGGAAAGCCTGCTGCAGCAGCTGAGTCTCTCATCTGGAGAGCAGCAGCAGCAGCTGCTGCAGCTGTTGCTGAATCTAGCAGCATGTTTGCTGAAGCAGCAGCAGCACCAAAAAGCAAAAAGGGTTTGCGAAATGGCCCTCTGTCTAGACAGCAGCAACTTCAAAGCTCTTTACAGAGCAGCAGCAGCAAATAAACATCTGGGAGATTTCAAAGCAGCAAAAGCAAAACTCAAGCAGATCTTGTCGCTGCTGCAGCAGCAGCAGCTGCTGCTGCAGCAGCAGCAGCAGCACGGGGCTTCCTCTGTGCAGCAAGACGCAGACTGTACTGATCTTGATGCTGCTGCTGCTGCTGCACCTATTGCACCTGCTGTCGCTGCTGCACCTGCTGCAGCAGCTGCTACACCTGCTGCAGCTGCTGCTGCTGCAGCTGCTGCTGCTGCAGCTGCTGCTGCTGCACCTGCCGCAGAAGCTGCTGCTGCACGTGCTGCTGCTGCGCTGCAGCAGCTGCGTTCTTTGTGTCTGCGCGAGCTGCAGCAAATAGAGCAGCAGCAGAAAAGATTTGCTGCTGTCTGCGAGCGCATGTTTAATGGAGAAGCGAAAGGAGAATTAAATAAAAACAAAAAAGAAATAAATAAAATAAAAGAATTAAATAAAATCAAAACAAAAGAAATAAATAAAATAAATAAATTCCTCTTCAACTTCCCTCTTCTCAGCTTCGCCAAAGGCTGCAGAAGAAGACTGCAGCGCCACTTGGCCTCCCTAAACCCTAAACCCTAAACCCTAAACCCTTGTTTTTTGTCACGCTTCCAAAAATGAATTAATTGAAGTCTAAAAGCCAGAAAGAAGAAAAAGAAAAAACTAATAAATCGTTCCAATTGCTAAACGGACAATTAAATATTTAATTAATTTAATTAATTATTTCAATCAATTTAATTAATTAATTTAATTAATTTAATTAATTAATTAAATTAATTAATTTGAAACAAGATGAATTTGTTTTATTTCTTGCGATCAAATCGAATTCAACTTGAATTCAACAATTTAGTTCGTGCTGCTGCTGCTGCTGCTGCTGCTGCAGAACGGCTCTGTTGTCTCCTCTGCAAGCGCTGAGAGCTGCAGCAGCAAAAAGACAAAACAGCAACTTTTAACTTTTTAATTAGCTTAAAACGAATTGTATAAAGCTGCTGCTGCTGCAGCAGCAGCAACTGCAGCAGCAGCAGCAGCAACAGCATAAATAGTAGAACCAAACACCAGCAGCAGCAACAGCAGCAGCAAACGGCAAGAGCCCTAGCATCCACAGCAGCAGCAAAAGGCACAGTAGCAGCAACAACAACAGCAGCAGCAGCAGCAGCAAGTACAGCAGCAGCAGCAGTAGCAGCAGCAGCAGTAGCAGCAGCAGCAGCAGCAGCAGCAGCAAGTACAGTAGCAGCAAGTACAGCAGCAGCAGCAGCAGCAGCAGCAGCAACGGACTCGCTGTTTGATCAGCTGGAAGTTGTGTCCGGGGTTTTGATCGCAGACGAGAAGTTTGTTGGAAAGTTTTAAAAAAGTTTTATTTTTATTTTTGAAAAAAATAAAAGCTGCTTCTTTTGTGGGGTTTGCTGAGGTGTACAGACACCGCGGCCCGTAGGCCAGGAACTTGTGGTTTATGCGGCTGCAGCAAAACGCAATAAATAACAAATAAATAAATAAATAAATAAATAAATAAATAAATAAATAAATAATGAATAAATAAACAATAATAAGTGAAAGAAAAAGAAATGAAGGAAGAAAAATTCGAAAGAGGCTTTCAACAAATGCCATTCGCTAAACCCTAAACCCTAAACCCTAAACTCTCAACCCTTGGATGAAACAAATCATGATAATTAAGAGGTCAAATGCTAAGGGAATTCAACATACGAATCACCCAAACCCTAAACCCTCGAATTGGTTTAGGGTTTAGGGTTTAGGGTTTAGGGTTTAGGTTTTTCGATAAAGCAAGTACATGGCAACGAAGGAAACAAACCCTAAACCCTAAACCCCAAACCCTAAAGAAAAAAGAAAAAATACATAAATTCGCAGATACTGAACTTTCAAGGACACAATTACAAGCATCCCCCACACGCTTTAGGGCTTAGGGTTTAGGGTTTAGGGTTTAGGGTTTAGGGTTTACAATTCGTTTCGGTCTTCTCCGAGGATTCTGTAGGCGGTGAAGAACCCGGCGAAAGTTCTTTTTTTACTTTCTTTTATTTCTTTTTCTTTTTTAATTTCTTTTTTTATTTCTTTTCTAATTTCTTTTTTAATTCCTTTTTTTATTTCTTTTTTTTCTTTTTCTTTTTTTATTTCGTTTTTTATTTTTTCCCCGCCGCCACTTAACACCACTCGCCCGCTGCTGTCGCGCTGCAGCAAAAGAGTCGTTTGAAAAATAATTTTTATTTTATTTTATTTTATTTATTTTTTTAATTTAATTAAATTTAATTTGATTTAATTAAGTTGATTTAATTAAATTAATTTAATTTGATTTAATTTATTTAAAAAATCCGAAAGAAATAATAAATCAGTAAAAGCCTTTTTGGCCTTTGCCGTTCTTCTGCAGCTTTTCGAAATTTCGTTTTTCCTATTTTTATTTTTATTTTTAGCGTTTTCATTATTCTTTATTTCTAATTGCTGTTTTATTTAGGGTTTAGGGTTTAGGGTTTAGAGTTTGGGTTTAGGCTTCAAGCTTCAGGCCTTAGGGCTTAAAAATTAGGGTTTAGGGGTTAGGGTTTAGGGTTTAGGGTTTATTCGCGTGTACTCACTATGTCAACGTTGGCTGGAAGGTCATCGCTGGGGGCCCCTTCTGTTTCCTTCAAACAAAAGTAAATATAAAAAATAAAAAAATAAATAAATAAGAATAAAATAAACAAATATAAATAAATAAATAAAAATAAATAAATAAATAAATAATGAATTATTCGGGTTAAATTCGTTGCCATATGAAACCGAAAAGCAGCTCTTTGGAATTGCACAAGTCCCGACATGCTGAGGGTTTAGGGTTTAGGGGTTAGGGTTTAGGGTTTAGGGTTTAGGGTTCAGAGGCACCACCAGCTCATATTTTGTGTCAAAACTGTCGGAGAGCAAACAGGGTATATTTCTGGGGGAGCTTGAAGCGAAAACACCAAACTTGGGTGAATTTAAATGAAAATAAATGCAAATAAATGCAAATAAATGAAATTAAATGAAGTTGAATGAATTAAATGATTAAATAAATGATTTACTGGCGAAAAAACCCGAAAAACGGGCCCGGCAGCAACAGCGGCGTGAAGTTGAATTCGGCCCATGAAGATTTCGAGTGTACGTACACCCGAATAGCCCAGCAACCCCTCCAGCTCCAGCGCGGGGCCTTGGGCTCCCGCGAGCCTCAAAAAGAATCTAAAAACGAATACAAGAATAAATAAAACATTTAATTAATTCCTTATTATTAAATTGTTTATTTATTTCCGAAAAAATCCAATTTTGAGCTAATTTGACCCCAAAATCACATTTTCAACTTTTCGACTTCCCTCCATTTGTCTTCTTTGCAAATTTTTCGTTTTTTATTTCTTTTCATTCATTTACTTATCTTTATTTATTTAATTGATTAATTAAATAATTATCTATTTGCTTATTTATTTATTATTTTATTTATTCATTTATTTATTTATTTATTTATTTGTTTGTTTCCCACTCGCTGCTTCCCTCCCGCCGCAGAATGAGGGGCCCCTCTCTCTTCAAATCTGGCAAAGACCCAAACCCTTCCCAGTCCAGAAACAGCGGCAGCCCGCAAACCCTAAGCCCTAAACCCTCAGACCCTAAACCCTCGCCAAACCCTAAACCCTCGGCCAGCAAACTCTCAGGAAGATGCAAATGCCAAACTCCCCACAAATGCTCAGCCCAATCTGGCATCTCAGGGGGGGCCCTATTCGGGGGCCCATTCAAATGTTTGGGGGCCCCCAGGGGACCCCCGAGGGGGCCCCCCAGGGGGGCCCCCTGGGGGGCCCCCATGAGGGGCCCCAGGGGGGCCCCCAGGGTTTGGGGGGCCCCCCTGGGGGGCCCCTCTGGGTGCAGCAGAGGACTGCAGGGGAGCCCCCCACGCGCCTGGGGTGGAGCAGAAGGGCTGCTGCTGCGGCTGCGCGCTGCTGCTGCTGCTGCTGCTGCTGTTGCTGCTGCTCGCGTGAAGGCGTACACGCACCGCTGCTGCTGCTGCTGCGGCGGCGAGCCGATTCTCCGGGACTGGGAGCTCTCAAACAGCAGCAGCAGCAGCAGCAGCAGCAGCGACGGGGGCGGTGGCGAAGCAGCAGAGCCAGTGGACCTTCCCCGCATTATACCCGAGCAGCAGCAGCAGCAGCAGCAGCGGCAGCACCAGCAGCAGCAGCGGCAGCAGCGGCAGCGGGGCCGACAGCAACTAGGGGGGCTGGCGTGGCGGCATTTTGTGCCTCTGGAGTAAATTGAAGTGGCGAATTAAGTAAAAAGAAATAAATTGAATTAAATAAATCAAATAAATTAAATTAAATAAATAAATTGAACTCAAAAGGCCGCAGACATAGCTGCGCGCGCTGCATGCGCCTGCTGCTGAGCCAGGCTCGTGCTCGCGGCTTTCGCTGCTGCTGCCGATCTGCCTCCAAAAACCCTCAAATTTGTTTATTTCTTCCGGAAAATAAAACCAATTTATCATTTCAAACTTTTTTTGCTGCTTTTTTCCCTCAAAAAGCCCCAAAAGGGGCCCCAGGGGCCCCGTTCACGACTGGGGGGCCCCCCAGCCGCCGCGGATATTGTTTGAACGCAGCGCGCTGCGGCGGCTCGTTTTTCTGCGTTTTTTCATTGAATTGAAATGTTTTGAAGTTTATATTTTTCATTTTAATTTATTTAATTGAATTTAAACAATTAAAAGAGGAGCTGGAGCGCAGCGGCTGGCCGCAGCCGCCGCGGTGTCTGAGGCTGCTGGCTAGCCGCTCAGCCGCCGCGTTCTCGGAAAAGGGGAAAACTCGCGTTTAAACGGACCAAATGGGTTTTTTAGTTAATTTAACTTCAATTTAAATTTAATTTAATTCAATTCAATCCTTTCGGGGCTTTTTGCGCCTCAAATCGAGCCGAGAAGAGCTTGGCGGCGCTTGCGGCGCGAAACTTGAGGTGTACGTACACCGCAGCGCTCGCGTTTTGGCTTTAACTTGAGGTGTACGTACACCCCAGCCCTCGCGTTTGGCGCTTTTGCTTTTTTGCCTTTCAAAAATGCAAAATAGTAAATCTGGCGGGGAGGCCCCGCAAAGGGGTTTAATGGACATTTCCGTTTCCAAAATCCGGAAGAGCATAGCCCACATGCTGCAGCAAAGCTCCCTCCAGAAGCAGCAGCAGCAGCAGCAGCAGCAAGCAGCATCAGCAGCAAACTCGCCCCGCTCCTCCGACATCTCCCCTGCTGCTTCTCTTCTCTCCTCCCCTCGCTCGCAGCAATTCCTCATCAGCAGCCGCAGCAGCAGCAGCAGCAGAAAAGAATTCCGCTTTGCTGCAGACCCAAAGGGGGCCCCCAGGGCCCCCTCAGGGGGGCCCCCCGGGGGCCCCCCGGGGCCCCCTGGGGGGCCCCCTGGGGGGCCCCCCGGGGGGCCCCCAGGGGGGCCCCTCGAGGGGGGCCCCCGGGAAAACGGGAGAGAAGCTGGGGTGTATGTACACCCCAGCAGCTCAGTGAGCTCCTCAGAGTCTGGAGGATCTTTTATTGATTTGGATTTGACTAATGATGCTGGCAGCAGCAGCAGCAGAGGAGGAGGCAGCAGCTCGGCTGCTGCTGCTGCTGCTGCTGCTCAGTGGGGCAGCTTTTTAGACCAAATCATTGAAGCCCCAGAAGCGGAAGCAGCAGCAGCAGCAGCAGATGCGGGGGTGACTGCAGCTGAAGGCAAGGACCTGCTGCTGCTGCAGCAGCAGCAGCAGCAAAGCCCCTGGGAGTCCATTTTGAGGAAAGATGCAGCAAATGATGCAGCAGGTGTGGGGCCCTGCTGCAGTGTACAGACACCACCTTTCCCTTTTATTTGCTGCTGCTTCTGCTGCTGCTGCAGCTGGCTCGCCTGCTGTTTCTTCATTCCATAGTTGGTGGTGTGTGCTGGTGCTGCTGCTGCTGCTGTTGCTGCTGCTGCAGATATCCTTCTGAAGTATACGGACATCAACGTGGCCAAGTGAAACTGCTGCTGCTGCCCTTGCATTTGCTGCTGCTGCTGTTGCTGCCCCTGCTGCTGCTGCAGCTGCTCCGTTGCTGCTGCTGCCGTTTCTGCTCGTACTATTGCTCCTCCTGCTGTTGCTGCTGCTGCTGTTCCTGCTACTGCTGCTGCTGCAGTTTCTTCTATAGCTTATCTGCTTTTTTTTCTACACTGCCGCCGCTGCCAGTGCTAATTTTGCTGCTGCTGCTGCTGTTTTCTTTGCTGCTGCTGCTGCTTCCTGCTGCTCTTTCCTGCTGCTGCTGCGGCTGCTGCTGCCGCACTGGCGAGGCTGCGGCACCACCGAATCTGTTGAGTTTATTACCAGGGTTTAGGGTTTAGGGTTTAGGGTTTAGGGTTTGTGACTCATTGTGCAGGTTTCGCCCCCAGCCGCCTCCGGCCCTTGACTTGGAGGACGTGAGTCTAGGGTTTAGGGTTTAGGGTTTAAGGTTTAGGGTTTATCCAATACAAGCAATTTGAATTGATTGAATTTAATTTAATTTAAATTAAATTAAATGAAATAGATGAATTCCTTTTGGATGCGGTGTGTTGCGGTGTACGTACACTGGAGCTGGGCGGAGTGTATGTGCACGTGCATGATGAAAAATGGATTTCTTCGATTTTCGGCAATTAAGAGCTGCAAAAAGAGAAAATAAAAGAGTTTTAAATGAATTATTTGATTAAAATGGATTTATTTTTCTTCAGGATTTGGAAAAAGGAGAAAAAACCAAGAAAAACTCCAAAATCGATCCTTCTCAGTGCCGCGTTTACGGAGAAGGTCTTCAGGCCCTTTTTGCAGGAGTCTTGAACGAAGTATAATTCTATTTATTTATTTATTTATTTATTTATTTTTTATTTATTTATATTTATTTATTTATTTATTTATTTATTTAGTTTTGGTGTCGGTTTTTTTTTGGGTTTGCTTTCCAGCTTTTCATTTGCTGTTAGATTCTCATTTTTAGTATTTAATTCTTGGACTGTTCTTGCTGCTGCTGCTGCTGCATTTGCTGCCGCTTCTGCTGCTTTTGCTGCTGCATATGCTGCTGCTGCTTTTGCTGCTGCATATGCCGCTGCTGCTACATTTGCTGCTGCTGCATTTGCTGCTGTTGCTGCTACTGCTCGCATGCATAGAACTTCCTTATCTTTCGTTTCTCCATTTCTGCAGCTTTCCTCTTTAAATGAATCGTATTTTTATTTCAATTAATTATTATTTTAAATTATTAATTATTATTTTTCTATTTATTTATTTATTTATTTATTTATTTATTTATTTATTTATTTATTTATTTATTTATTTAGTTCACAATTCAAGCTGTCGCCCCAGACGGCCAATTTGCTTCACACGGCGGCGCCAAATTTGTGGTGTACATACACCCTGTCGTGCTGCCGCAAGCAGATCCTGCTGCTGCTGCTGAGGAGGACGAGCAGCAGCAGCAGCAGCAGCAGCAGCAGCAGCAGCTTGCGCAAGTGCTGGATAACCAAGACGGCACCTATACTGTACGGTGTACAAACAGCAGCAGCAGCTGTTGTTGCAGTTTGTTGTTGTTCTGCTGCTGCTGCTGCAGTTGCTGTTCTGCTGCTGCTGCAGTTGTGCTGCTGCTGCTGTTCTGCTGCTGCAACTGCACTGCTGCCGCTGCTGCTATTGCTCTGCTGTTGCTATTGCTCTGCTGCTGCTGCTGCCACTGCTCTGCTGCTGCTGCTAGTGCTCTACTGCTGCTGCTGCTGCTGCTGCTGCTGCTGCTGCTGCTACCACTCCTCCTGCATCTATCAAATCCATTCTTTTTGCACTAATTAGTGATTATTTTATTTATTTATTTCATTTATTTATTTATTTATTTGTTATTTATTTATTTATTTATTTATTATCTTTTATTTATTTTTTTATTTATATTTAGGTTTTCTTTTCTTGTTCTGCTGCTGCGCTGCACTTGGTGACGATTTTGCTGGACGGCAAATATCCTGTGGCTTGTAAGAAATCCAAAAGTTTTATTTTTATTTTTATTTTATTTGATTTTATTTTATTTTATTTTTATTAATTTGCTATTTATTGCAATTAATTGGTTAATTAATTAATTAATTAATTAACTGATGCTTTGATTAAGTAATTAGTTAATTAATTTGATTAACTGATTGATTAATTATATCAGTTAATTAATCTGTTGTTGTGTTTGTTATTTGGCAGTTTCCCTATGGACTCCAAAATCGCTCAACCCTAAACCCTAAACCCTAAACCCTAAACCCTAATTTAGTGTATTTGCTGCAGCTTCTCCGTACACAGTCTCCGTCGCTCCAGGCCGATTAAATCCTCTCCAAACTTTTGCTTTTGGAGAAAGTTTGAAATTCTTTCGAGGGGGGGGAGAAATGAATGTGAGGATTATTTTATTTTATTTTATTTATTTTATTTATTTATTTTATTTTGTTTTGTTTTGTTTTGTTTTGTTCATTTTTATTTATTTATTATTTATTTATTTATTATTTACGTATCTATTTATTATTTATTTATTTATTATTTGTTGATTATCGATTTTTTTATTTATTATTTACTCATTTATTTATTTATTTATTATTTACTCCTTATTTAATTATTTATTTATTATTTATAATTTATTTATTTGGTATTTATTTATTGATTTTTTCATAACCCATTTATTCACTTTTCTATTTATGCATTTTTCATTTATTTTTCATTTTCTTTTATTTTCTCAGTTGTCTTTTTTCTAATTTAAAATGGATTGTTTACCGAAGAGCTTTGCTATTCTATTCTCAAGGGTTTAGGGTTTAGGGTTTGGGTTTTAGGGTTTCTGCTGTTTTCGTTTTCCAGGAATTTGTAATTCAGGCGAGAGATGCATATGGCAATGTGCACAAAAGGTAAGGGTTTAGGGTTTAGGGTTTACCTTCCGGTTTTTTGGCCTACGATTTAGGGTTTAGGGTTTAGGGTTTAGAGTTTAAGGTTTGTCTGCTTGCAACTCCAAAAGCATTTCTTTTTCCCCGTTTCTTTGCAGATGTGGGACTTGAAATAATTATGTTTTTGAGACAAAAATATATTTTAAAAAGTAAATAAATTTTATTTATTTATTTATTCATTTATTTATTTAGTTAGTTAGTTATTTATTTACTTTATTCACTTATTTCATTTTTCTTTTTTCTGTAGAGGGGGAGAGAAGTTTACTGTCGAGGGTTTAGGGGCCATAAACCTCGTGGAGGTTTTGGACTTCAATGACGGACTCGTAAACCCTAAACCCTAAACCCTAAACCCTCGGCCTTGAGCCCTAGACGCTACGCTTTAGACCCCAAAGCTTAAAGTCTGGGCCGTAAAGCTCGAACCCTAAACCCTAAACCCTAGGCCTTAAATTCTAAACCCTAAACCCTAAACCCTGAGGCAGCGCGGATGCTGAAGTGCACGTAGCTGCCTAAACCCTAATCCCATTATTTGTTTATTTTTAATTTTATTTTTTCTATTTATTTATTTTCAAGTGCTTAAATGGGTTTCTTTCAGTACAGAGGAAAGTTCTTTGTCCGCGATGGCTGCGAAATGCAATACTGCCAAATCAACAGTGAGGGTTTAGGGTTTAGGGTTTAGGGTTTTAGGCGATTTTGGGTGGAAAATAAAGGCAATTTGTCCTGCATTTATAAATTAAAATGTCTTTTGTTTTAGTGGCATTTAAAATGCATTTAAAATGCATTTAAAATGCATTTTTGTTTTCTGAAAATCAAAAAAGAAATTTTCCGATTTGCGCAAAGGCGAAGCAAGCAGGTGTGCGTACACTCCAAAGCGCGCGCATGCACCTGCAAAAGTGGAATTTCTTTTTAACTTTTAAATTAAGATATCTTGAAAGAATTAAATTCAAAAGAAGACTAGAAATATAATTGATTTAATTATTTCTTTGTTTCTTTATCTCATCATTTTGTTTTTTAAATTTATTTCATTTAATTCGAATTTTGAAATAGAGGGGCCTCTGGGATGGATCCCAAACACGAGCCCAGACTTCTTTATTAATTATTTGTTTATCTTTATTCATTTATTTATCTATTTATTTTAATTTATTTGTTTTTGTTTATATTCATTTTATTTATTTTTGTTTTTATTTATTTTTCTTTTCAGTCAAATACGAAGGACTTCACATAAAAGGATCTCCTTTCTATCCAAAACCCAAACCCCAGCCCGCGCCCGCTCGCGAGCAAGAAGTAAACCCTAAACCCTAAACCCTAAACCCTAAACCCTGAACCCTAATTCGTGCAACTGAGCTGCGGTTCTACTCTGTTTCTTTCTGCAGCAGCTGCGTGCAATATATATTATTTTGTTTGCTCTTACAGATTAAATCAACAAATGAATGCTAACTGAGTAAATAAATAAATAATAAAATTGATTATTAACGAAAATAAATAAATAAATAAATAATGGAGTAAACAAACAATAAAAGAATGAACAATTAAAGGGGTTTGTTGATTGAATAAATGCATATCGAAGTCCTCCTTTTTTTATCATTTGGAAACAACAAAATAAATGAAATTAAAAGATCAGAAAAAGATTTTTAAAGATAATATTTCGGATTTAAATGAAAGTGGGTTTCGGGGCTTGAGCTCTACGTACAGCTGAAGGGCCAAACACAGGAACGAATTTTCTTTTTAAAATTAAAAAATAATTTAAAAATTAAAATTAAAAATTACAAAACAAATTTAAAAGTCAAAAGTTTTGCTGCTGCTGCTCAGACTCTTCCTGCTGCTTATGCTGCTTTGGATTTAATGAATCCTTCCAAAAGTCTTCTCGGGGCTTTTTCCCGATTCTCTGCATGCATGCAAAACGCATGCATGCAAAACGCATGCATGCAAAACGCATGCATGCAGAAAGCCACAATTCCCCCTCTTCCAACTTTTCCCCCTTTTCCCGATCAACAAGAAAAAGAAGAAGTCCTTAAAAAGCTCATGGGCAGATTCGAGGCTGCAGACGTAACCCTAAACCCTAAACCCTAAACCCTAAACCCTTTTGCTGCAGGTACTCTGACGCTTCAAACGCAGACACTCTAAATTTTCTAAACCCTAAACCCTAAGCCCTAGGTTTGTTTGCTTGCTGCTGCTGCTGCAGCTGGATCTCACCAGCGAGCATCTTGCAGGTGAGCTCAAAAACCCTAAACCCTAAACGCTAAACCCTAAACCCTAAGTCCCTTGCAGGGGATGCCGCCCAAGGGCCTCTCATTAGTGAGCCTCAGGCCTCTAGGGCTTAGGGTTTAGGGTTTAGGGTTTAGGGTTTGATGCGCGTTTTGCAGATACGAGGGAGGCTTTAGCTAACTGCAGCCAGGGGCTTTCAGCGGAGCAGGTCCGCCCGGACTTCATTAAATTTATTTTTCATCAAATTAAATTTAATTTAATTTAATTTAATTTAATAAAATTAAATTAAACAGTTAAGTTTAAGTGGCACAAATTGTTTATTCTGTATTATCTTTTCTTCGTTTGCATCGGCATGCACTCGTTGAGCTGCTTCGCTTGTGGTGTACGTACACCCGAGAACATGAATGCAAATGCACATTTATTTGGGCTCTAGTGGCGCATTATTTGTATTTACAGTTTTATAAAGGCATTTATGTTTTTGTTTTCAGTTTGAATTGCATTTAATTCCATTTACCTTTCCATTTGTCTTTTCGATTCATTTCAAGTCGACAAACGAAAGAAACCCCGAATGGCGTTTTTTGTCGTGTTTCTTCGTTTTCTTTTCTGCAAAAAGTCTTTTAAAAGGACTGTTTATCCTTTTCAACATAAATATTCGAAAGAAATTTCGAATGTTTTGTCGAAATTGCGCTTTTTCGGAACTCCAGCTTCCCCGT